TCTCAAATTACGACACGTAGATTGCCACTATCCCTCAAGAGGAAGGTATATAACAGCTGTATCTTGCCGGTACTTAGCTACGGAGCAGAAACCTGGAGACTTACAAAGAGGGTTCAGCTTAAATTGAGGACGACGCAGCGAGCAATGGAAAGAAAAATGGTAGGTGTAACCTCAAGAGACAAGAAGAGAGCAGAGTGGATTAGGGTACAAACAGGGGTTAAGGATATCATAGTTGAAATAAAGAAGAAGAAATGGACACGAGCCGGACATGTAGCGCGTAGACAGGATAACCGCTGGTCATTAAGGGTAACAAACTAGATTCCCAGAGAAGGGAAGCGGGTTAGGGGGAGACAGAAGGTTAGGTGGGCAGAGGAGATTAAGAAGTTTGTGGGTATAAATTGGCAGCAGCAAGCACAGGACCGGGTTAACTGGCGGAACATGGGAGAAGCCTTTGTCCTGCAGTGGACGTAGTCAGGCTGATGATGATGATTTATTTCAAGTTTTATTAATCTCTTAAAGCAACAAATACATAAACTACGCATGTTGTGTTAAATATTTTTTGCCATGTCACGTGGTATACTATTGACGTCAGAGCAGAGTCGTCTACGTAGAGGACCAACGTCATTGCATTGCTGTGTACGTAGGGCGATTCCTACGCCCAAGTTATGCCCTCATTCTCTAGGCGTGCGCCGGCAGATGGGAGAGGGAGCAGCGTTAATCTTGAAATTTGATGCATTTCCGCGGTGCGTAGCGTTGCAAATTTTGGCAGACGTGATCATGAACGCCTCGTCTACGCTTTGCGCTTGTCAGCTAAAAATTGTCAAATCTGGTGAGTGGCCCTTTAAAAATAATTCGCAAACAAAATGAATTAGAACTGAATGTATCACCATGCATCGCAAATGTGCCAAATACATTTTCCTGGCTTCCTCAATGTTTGTCATTTACTGTAATAGAAACTCATAAAGCTGATGGCAATGAGAAGCGCTGGAGAAAGCTTTTGCTGAAAAAAAAGTGGGACACCTTCATCCAATTATCCCTGATATCAGCTGCACTTCTTACATGAACAGCTCAGATTCAACAATTTATATGTATCCTACTACACCGGAAGAAATATGCGGCTTGTTAAAAAAGTTAAAAAGCAACAGTGCCTGTGGTGTAGATGAATTGAAGGCAGTTCCTCTTAAAGTAGTCGCTCATGCTATCTGTTTACCTCTATCGCACATATGCAATCTTATTCTAAGCTCTGGAACGTTTCCCAACGAACTGAAGATTGCAAAGGTATCAGTTATTTTTAAAGGAGGAGATAAAAACGATCTCGGTAACTATAGGCCAATCTCTGTTTTACCTATGTTTTCCAAGGTTATTGAAGAAGCTATAAACTTCAGGCTTACTAATTTTTTTCAGCAAAAAAACATTATCGTAAAAAATCAATATGGTTTCCAAAAGAAAAAATCCACAGAAATGGCATTACTCGATATTAAAGATAAAATAGTTGACAACATAGAAAAAAAACTATTCACGGTAGGGCTTTTCCTTGACTTTAAAAAAGCATTTGATTCCGTTAAGCATGATGTTTTACTGCTCAAACTATCCAGATACGGTGTCAGAGGTATAGCTCTAGACATTGTAAAAAGTTACCTAGAAAACCGTGTGCAATACACCAATATTGGTAATGCGAAATCTGAATTCGGTAAAATTACATGCGGCGTGCCACAAGGGTCAATCCTTGGCCCACTCTTGTTTATTATGTACATAAATGATATAGTTAACATACCTCTTACACCTGACATTATTTTGTACGCCGATGACACGAATGTATTCTTCTCTGGGCCAGATATTGACGACCTTATGTTGAAAGCGAATATTTGGCTACAAAACTTATCTACATGGCTTAGGGCCAACAGGTTAAATCTAAATGCTAAAAAAACAAAATTTGTTGTTTTTAGACCTCGTAACAAAACATACATTAGTAAGAATATTATTAGCTTTCAGGGACAGCCTATCGAACGCGTTGCGTCTCTTAAATTTCTCGGTGTCTTTTTTCACGAATATTTAGATTGGTCTGTGCATATAAATTACTTGCGAAAAAACATCTCTCGAGCAGTTGGCATACTATGCACGTTGCGCAGCCTATTACCAGTATGGTTAAAAAGACAGATTTATTACGCAACCATACATTCGCACCTTCACTATTGTCTTCTGATTTGGGGAACGACGACAAAAACTAACCTCAAAAATTTATATCTATTACAAAAACGAGCTGTGCGATTAATTGAACTTCTACCTTTTCGTTCGCACACAGCCCCTTTTTTCGAAAAACATAGACTGCTAGTCATTAATAATATCCGATATAAAAAATTAGCAATGATTATATCGTGAAGTTAAATCTAATCGAATTGAATTTTTCAGGAAGTATCACGAGCGTAACCACAGTCATAATTTACGACATATTAGTTTCAAGAAAGACACGCTTCGTACAAATTACGGTACACAAAAACTAACTTACCAAATTCCCCACTTTCTTAATGAACACCCCACTGTGATGGCATTAATTGAACAAAGTTCCTCCATTTATGTTTTCAAAAAGAAGATACACACATTCCTTCTAAAAACTCAAACAGATTCTCATACCTCTTTCGATTCATTTTATTTTATGTAACTTTTATGTGCTGCTGTGACTTTATGAATTTTTTTTTTGCTTTTGTCTGCCTGTTTGTTGTGCGTAAATAGTCTCTTATTATTTCTTTATGTGCTAATTCATAATTGCTGTTCATTTCTTTGTTAATACTGGCTTGATGTAAAAAAAAAAATTGTAAATGTTTTTTGATATTGTATGTATCTCAATTTCTCAATTTTTGTACTGCTATATATAACCTGTTTATGTATGTGTGTACATAGGGGGTTGGCGCTTTGTCAGGCTTTCTTTGCCTTTACGCCGATCCCCTAGGCAAACTGTGTACACGGGTTGTCTGAAATTAAATCAATAAAAAAAAAAAAAAAAAAAAGCGTTACCTCTATCTCCTCATATGACGAGCTGACATTTGCTGAATCGAATTCTGATTTAGCCGTCAAGCAGTGATTCAGCAGAATTGCTGCTGGACTTATTTGCAGCAGAGAAACCGTCACGCACTTCCATTCACTAACTGGGCAGTGATGAAAACTGTACTTGTGAGCACATCCAAAAAATGAAAACAAGGCCAAAACTTATAATAATCTGTCTTATAGCCAATGAGACAAAAACGGTTTTTGCGAGTCCCCAGAACGGGAGACGCAATCCCAGTGGCAGCGTTTGTGTCAGTCTGCACCCGCACGGAAACAGGCGTAATCGTGTACCGGGAAGAGGTAAGAGAGACAGCAACAAATGTGTCACCTTTTCAAAGATTCAACTAAATAACTATCAATTTTGCATGCATAACAAGCAGGAACCGGCTGAGGAACGAAACTAACCGACATACCACTGCAGAAACGCATGTATTTTATGCATTCCCGCAGCGTGGAGTCATGTGTCAAGCAAGAAAAGTGCTGGAAAATGTGCACATTTTAAACATACAGGCAATGATGTATACAGTGCAGTCCACTTATAACGATATCGAGAAAACCTAAAAATATGATCGTTATAACCGGTGATCGTTATATCTGGACTGCCGCCAAAAAATCGTCGCCGGACGTACCTTTTGTAGCTCCAGGCTTCATTTTGCTATTTTCACCAATTAATAAATATTGTAGATAGTAGGATGTCAAAAACAAGACTTTATTTCTTACTCCGAAGAACGCATCACGGGTTCGCTGAGGAAGAGAGACTGACCGACGGCGGGGTGGGAGCAGTGGGAGGAAGAAAAGCACAGCCAGAGGTACACAGCCGGAATGCCAACGAGGCCCCGCCCCCATGCCGCCGCGCCGCTTTGCTTTTCGCTTTTTTTATTTTCTCTCTCTTTCCCGCTTTCGTTCGGCAAGCTACGAGTAGCTTGCCGGCTTGCCGTTGTAGAAGGCGGGGAGCCGCGGAGCGCGGCGCTTTGCTTTTCGCATTTTTTTTTTTTAATTCTCTCAGCCTCTCCGCGGTCGACGCGCGGCGAGGCGCAAAACGTGACACAGCTGGCGCCATCTGTAGCGCGTCGCGCCAACTCGCGATGCTCTCCTCGGCTTTTTGAACGGCCGGGACGCGCTGCCGGCGCTGTCCTGCAGTGGCGGCAGATACGTACTCGCCTACGCTAACTTTTCGTCTTGTCTCGGCATAGTTCGTTTCAGAAGAACTTATCAATCTAAATGTTACGATTATTCTGCATGAAACATGCCGTCCACGGCAAACTTTTCATCGTTGTATCCGATATGCGGTGGATAACATATCGTTATATATGGTTTTTTTCCCCATAGCCCCAATGCATAAAATGAGACTGTTAAGTCGACCCATCGTTTTAACCGATATATCGTTATATGTGGTATCGTTATAAGTGGACTGCACTGTATGTACGTCCTTGACCCTTAGAAGGTTAATGAAACCTAATCTTGATGGTAGAAAGAGCAGAAGTATCTGCCCGTTCTATCATGTTGCATACTCTCAGAATAGCACAACCACACAAATAAAACTAGTGGCAATCACGAAATGGTGAAAGTGTCACCGCAAACCAGCACATAACACCACGACTGCTATATGAAAGCCACAGAACTGCCCAAATGTGAATGTTCCCACTACTGCACGCCCTACCTACAACACAGAGAAGTGCTACTTAAATTTACAGTGTATTTTAGCCATCCACCATACATCCTGGCACATAAACCCATCTCTCAAAACTTAATGTAAGCAAAGAAATTTGCACCATAAACAAGCTTTCTATAAATTTAACCAACCAGCTGCAGTATCGATTCCCATACACTCATTTCGAACCAGTCTACAGAGAAGCATGCTTATGGTAGTGCGCCAGTGAAAATGCTTCTGCGTTTGTGCTCATGAACACAGAAAACAAAGGTAATTTGAGAGCATAATCAAAACTGCCAGCACGCACCTTCTTAATGTCGTCGAGGTTGTGGATCTCTGGAGAGAGCCCCCCGTGGACGCAGAGAAACTGTTGGTTCATGAGGGCAGCCAAGGGCAGGCAGTCAAATGCCTCCATACAGGCATCATACACACGCTCTGAATACTTTATCTTGCACTCAGTCTTGAAGGTGAAGTACTCGGTTAGGTGCCTACACTCGTGGTTGCCACGTAGCAGGAATAAAGTGTTAGAGTAGCAGATCTTCAGGGCCCAGAGGTAGAGCACACACTGCAGCAGAGCCAAAGAAGGTACGCACGCTGAGACTAAACAGCCAAGCTAAGTGGTCACACACACTTACCTCAATGCTGAAGTACCCCCGATCAACATAGTCCCCAAGGAAGAGGTACTTGGTAGTGGCAGGTGGGCCGCCCACCTCGAACAGCTTCATCAGGTCATAGAACTGGCCATGGATGTCGCCACAAACTGCCGAACAGTACAAACACCACCTTCTCAAACCCATTTAACAACTACTGAACAGGAAGTTACAGTACTTTGATGAAATACCCATTGCCCCGAGTTCTTCAAAACAAGGTTCGCAAGCCTCTGCCAGCTAAGTTTCAAAAATATTGCACCAGTGGTAGGCAGTGGCACGAAAAAAAAAAGTTCTACCAATGTTTGTGCAGGACACAGGCTTTATAAAAATACCACTGGTATGAAACAGTACGCCTACGGCCATGTTTTTCTACACAGTGAGATTGCAAGTTGGGCCAGATGGTTGGGTTACAGAGCAACACTAGACAAGAACAAAATGTGTTGCTCATTTCTTTTTGTCCTTTACCTTGCACTGTAACCAAGTTCAATTTACGCACGCTGGATCAATACGGTGAGGCACCGTAGCGGAAGGGTTCAGAAATTATGACCACCTGAGGTTTCTTAAATGTCACCCAAGCCCAAACCCTTCTTCCTTGAAATGCAGCAGCCAGGGTTCCAACCCACAACCTTCGGGTCAGTCATCAAGCAGCACAACCATCGCGGTATACCCAGAACTTACAAGCATTCACTTGCGCAACCATCCCTTAATTGTAAGAGCAGTTTACTTTTTTTCTACTGCAATACAATTGCATAGACAGCAGCTTACGAACTTGTTAGCTGTCCTAGGCTTACAGCACAGCCTACTGCAATCGCTGAAAAGATCTACACCTCCTCAAGCTCTTTGTGGATGTATATCAAGACCTAGAAAATCGTGCATTTCCATATTGAAGAATGTACGTGTGAGCCTGTACATGTAAGCACAGCTGCTGCAGCTATCGCATTTTCAATGCCGCTCAGGGGCTGAATGCACCGGTCATCAGGCTGCCTTCGTCGGCACAAAAACACATTGGTGACACGCATGCTTCTTAGGGTCGCTGTCATGTTGGCCACACTCATACAATATGCAAGTTTTGTCAGCTCCACAAACCACCTGGCCGTACCAAACGTGGTTTGAAGGCACGCTCTCTCTGAACATGCACTGCAAGTGCATGCACAGAGGTGATCAGCCCAAGATTGATGGAAGAGCTTCCCCATACAGTATATTTAAATGAAAGGGATAGTCAGGTTCACCCTTATTTTGGACACATCCACAGCTGTTTACTTTAACACAATATGTGCTCATTGCTTCCTAGCAACGAAATACTTCTGAACTAAAATAGAAATGTTACTATGACGAACGCTAACTGTACCAGTGGTATACATTTCATTTGCAGCAGTTCATGCCACTCCCAACTTCACACAGAGGCAAGAAAAATGCAAAGAGATGGTGAGAATTTGCTAGAACAGCGCCCGGCCATGCTTTAACTCTTGGACAGACAAAAGCTGCAATTAGCAAACAACTCTTTTGCTTTGCCAGCTCTCTTTTTGCACCGCTGCAGTGCTGTTTCCACAATTTCCCACAGTATTCGTCTACCGACCTCGCTTACACAAGTTCATGCAGAAGAACATGCTTCACAAAGCCAAACAAGTGCCCAGATACTGCAAAGCAGGGAAACACCATAAAAATTCTGGACTTTCGCATGCGAAAGCCTCCCTATTAAATTTGTTAACATGAGGTTCTTTGAGACCTCCAATGCACCAACCACTAAAATGTTTGTATTTCGAACAATCCTGTGAAAACATTGTCCTGCCTTGAAGTTTACTTAGCTCTAGATCACCTTAACCGCACAAATATTAAGAGCTGAATGAGGTGTAGTTTTTGGAATGCAGTAATGATTTAGGTTAGATAATTTTGTAAGCACAAAATACAAGTGTAAATACACAAAGGTTGGTCTAATATCCCCTTCAGGCAAGAATTTATGATGAACAGTCTAAGTATGCATCAATTCACTTACAATAGTTTCAAGGCACTGTAATATTACATTCTAAGAAAGGAAATGAAGTAATTTGTTTCATGTGAGTGTCAGTAATTAACAGTAAAAATTATGTTCAAATACTACATTATTCCCCATGAAAAGGTTTGTGAATAGGGGTTATCGAGTCAGCGTTTCGACAAGCAGACTTGTCTTCCTGAAGGCTAGCGTGTCTACATTTGGTACCCTCTCCTCCATCCAAACAAACGAGAGAGAGAGGGCCACATTGGATGTGTAAGAGGGGGGAGGAATCGCTGCTTTCAGAAGTTAACAATGGTAGGTTTGAAATTTTGAGACTGACAGCTTTACTCTCGTTTTTCTTTGCATATGTACCATACCCAATAGATTCAAGGGCCCCTTTAAAAACATTTATACCCACTGGCTGTATGTAGTGTTTTAAACTTGTGAATAAGGTATAACTATATTTTCTGTCTCTTGCGGATCGGAAGCTTGACTAGATGTGCCCTGCTGCTACATAAAAATGTTGTGCCACTGCTTTCGGTAATTTTTTTGCCGTGCCCGAGTGACGACCGCTTAATCTAACATTAAGAGGTTGTCCCTGTTTCGCAAATGTACTGTTTATGACAATATGAACATTCTATCATGTAGATAACGCTTGTGCTAGTGCAGGTAAACATAGATTTTATATGGTGGACATAATCATTCACAGTGCTTTTAACTATCACGTCAACATAAAAGGTGTTTGCAAGTCTTGCATCTTGGATGGGAGCAACGTAGCACTGAAAAAGTCAGTTCTGTTCTCGCTTTGAGAAAGACAGATCCAATGCCCCCCCCCCCCCCCCTCCTCTTTAGTTTTTTTTCATTGCCAGCTTCCATCTTCCCCTTCCTGTCTTTTTTTTTGGGGGGGGGGGGGGGGATTTCCACTAATCCCAAGTCACTCATGTTTCACTTCAACATAAGAAAAAAATTATGGGCTCCACATATGTGCACAATTTATTTTTGGTTACATTCGTTTTGAGAAAAATTAATACCTTTGACAGCTCTGGAACGCAGCATGTTGAACGAGCTCTGTTGAATATCGTAGTGCCATCACCAAAGTGACTGGCTACAGTAATACACGGCACACTGAGATTAAGTCAAGACATACTGAATATGGAAAAGGTTCAATTCGCCTATACTTTCTTTTATACAGCAAGTACAATGCCGTAGAAGCTAGCGAGACTTCTTGCAGTAGATGTGTTCGCACTAACAATTTCGATTGATATGTAGCATGTAACGTCCCAAAACCACCATATGATTATGAGAGACGCTGTAGTGGAGGGCTCTAGAAATTTCGACAACTGGGGCTAACAATTCCGGAAGCCTCGTCCAGCCTTCCCGCCTTAGAGACGCCGTCAAAACCGTTCATCTTCGCCGACCAATTTCACGGGTCGACAGGAGCGCCGGCCACACAAAGCTGACGAGAGCGAAAGGGGTTTCGCCCGCATAAATCCCATGGTAGCCTTCATAAGACCGGCTCCGATCTTTCCTTCTTTGTATTCTACCTATCCCTCTCCAACTTTCTAGTCATCTTCAATAAACTAGTCTTGAAGCTGTCACCAACGAGTCGAGTCGCACCTTTTCAAGGCTCCTTAGCGCGCGGCCCAGCCGCACTGCTGTAGTTACCACGCAGTGAAGAACTCTCTTTCCAATTAAGAGTCAGCCGACGAAGATTAGAGCGCAAGTAATCATCTACAGGGGTTCTTTAACGTGCACCCAAATCTGAGCACACGGGCCTACAGCCTTTTCACCTCCATCAAACATGCAGCCGCCGCAACCGGGATTCTATCCCCCGACCTGAAGGTCAGCAGCTGAGTACCTTAGCCACTAGACCACCGCACAGGGCACACTAACAATTTCATGCCTTGCAATAAGACTTCATTTTTACGCTAAGAAGTGAAGATGTTTTGTGCTTCTAATACGAAGAAGCCACCGCTGCTGAAAGCGATATTCATTCCATGCCCAGAACTCGCACCTTTCTCATGACACATGTGCCCTTCCCCTAGCATAAAACATTTTGGTCTGGTCTCCTGACCACCTAAGACAATTATCCCAGTTGTCCCAGATCCCCACGCGAAGCTCCGACGAAAACGGTAGGAAAAAGGCAGACGTTCACATATGTGCCATTGTGAAGACCCTCGTGCAACTCCCACGCAAAAAAAGACAAGGAGGGGGGGGGGGGTGCATTCCTACATATAACAGAAAAAGTAATGCACAGTTCAAACACGTGACCAAACTAGAGGTGCTTGGGAATTGACCCTAAAGACAAATTGCTTTAGAATCTACAGCATTATTTGAAATCAAAGTGCACGATAAATCTTTCTGGCTCTTTTTCAATCCCTGCTTTCCAAATCCTCTAAAAAGCTTGTTCTAACACACCTGGCTGGCACTAATATAAATAAAAAGTATCATGAACATTGAACACTCAACCAAAGTAAACAAAATGGTAATTGAAACCTCCCCTCTGAACATAACACATTGCAATGCTAGCAACATGCTCCACTCAGATAGACCCAAAAGTCACCACTACAGCGAGCGCTGCCAGGCCAGAAATAGGCTCCTATATTTGCGGGACATGCCAGGATGCCCCTTTATCATTTGGCTGTTTTCCAAGCCACGCCAACTACTTTGCACACAAACACCTTCTATGCTGGCCAGTAAGTCATGTAAACTGCCACAGCAGCGCTTAAAAGGGGACGCCCAATAACACTGCCCCTCCCACCCACATACACGCACACACGCACATACACACCACTAGAACGCTCAGGAAATAGAGATTACAGAATGCTCCTCTCAACAGACAACACACGATATGGCAAGCCCCTCAACATACAGAGCAAAGACGAAAGGAAGGAAAAAAGACAAGCACTTCTTTCTGCCTTTGGTCCGTGTGAGCTGAAATCATCCCACAATGAATTCCTGCCCAGTTATAACTACTTTCACAAGAAAACGACTACACAATGCAATCAAACTTCAAAATGACTAGAATATTAAAATGCCTCATCAGAATGCACTACCCCACCTATAAAAATAAGCATGCTCTACAAGATGCCCCACCGCGGTGTGGTGTAGTGGCTAAAGTACTCAGCTGCTGACCTGCAGGTCGCGGGATCGAATCCCAGCTGAGGCGGCTGCATTTTCGGTGGAGGCGAAAGTGCTGTATGCCTGTGTTCTCATTTGGGTGCACATTAAAAAACCGCAGGTAGTCGCAATTTCCGGAGCCCTCCCCTACAGCATCTGTCATAATCATATGGTGGTTTTGGAATGTTAAGCCCCATATATCAATCAATCAATGCTCTACAAGATAACCTGTTTCTCTGGCAAAAGTTTTTTGACACACAAAACACGCAGACAATTGCGGCGGTCTGTGTTTAGTCTGTTGTAAAAAAAATTTTGCGCAAGAAGTAGGTTGTCTTGTAGTATCGACTACCTCGAACACACACAATTTCCTTCAATGCCAACATACAGAAATGCGAAGTATTTGGCATCTGTCTACAGGCATTTCAGGTGCAATCAGGATGTGAGCACCATGCTACATTGGAAGTTATATTCGGTTATCAAGGGGTTTTTCTTGCAAGCAAAGCATTACTTGCACTACATTGCAAAGTATGGACAATGTCCCGCATGCACGAGTATTACACACAAGGGTCAACTAGGTAAATACACTAAAACTCGTTAATTCAAACTCAAAGAGGACTATAAAATTGTTTCAATAAGTAGAGCTTGAATTAGCAGTGGGTGCTAGAATGAACAAACACTGCGCCACACTGCCTGGCCAGAACCCAGAAGGCCACCTCTGGACTCATCTCAAATTATATGATACTACACCTCTGTGGCAGGCGATTTCATAAATTAACCTCATGGTGCTCAAAACACGGACTGAAAGGATTGATCAGTAAGTGATACACCAGAAACATCTACAGCACGCATTCATGTGAGCAGTAAAGCCTTATATGGCTATTTATGTACCAAAACGCGTTGTTTTACATGGCTGATTTATTGAAATGGTAATTAAAAGTAATCAGTTATTCGCATTTGCTTGCACTTCTTTTGTCGTGAATCCATAAGAATAGGTTGCAGCTTGCCCAAGAGTTTCAGCACAGCATCCGGATTCTCATCTACAGAATAATGCTGCAGTTTTGTAGCTTGACATCTCTAGTAAATTTGGTTTCGTTTCGCAACACTATCAGTCTGTAGATAGCAATACATTGAATCACCCTTAATTTTAATGCTCTGTAATTTTGCTTTTTGTAGCTGCATTCTGCTATTGTTTTTCTTAAAGGGCCACTCACCAGGCCCCATACCAAATTTTAGTTAGACAGTGGAAGTGAAGTTAGACGAGGACAGCAGGCAAGATTGAAACCCTTGCCTCTCCTCCGCGTAGCCTTCGCAAGCCAAATCTCTTCCCCACCCTCTCCAGCATCCGACCATGAGGTGACATGCGCATGACGTGCCCAAACAAGTCCAACCCCCGAGTACGCGAGCAGCGAGCTTCGTTGACCAGCGTTATTTTGTGGTATTCTGCCCTTTTCTACGGGATGGTTTGGAAACGCTGGCTTAGACGCGGTAGAGTAGATGAGCACAATGAGTGCACGACTGCGTAGGAGCGTTCCACAGCAGTTATCTGCTCAGTGCGCTGACTGCAGGGACACGATCGCATGCGAAACGCTGGCACATTAGCGCAGCATCTCGTAGGATTTCACGGGAAAAAATGAAAGAAAAACGCGCACAATTTTATTGCGTCTCATAATTTATTTCAAGTTTTATTAATCTCTTAAAGTAACAAATACATAAACTATGCATGCTGTGTTAAACAATTTTTGCCATGTCAGGTGGTATAATGTTAACGTCAGAGTAGAGTCGTCTACGTAGAGGACCAACATCATTGCATTGGCGTGTACGTAAGGCCATTCATATGCCCACGTCATGCCCTCATTCTCTAGACGTGTGCCGGCATAGAAAAGAGAGAGCAGCGTTCATCTTAAAATTTCACCCATTTCCGCGGCACGTAGCGTTGCAAATTTCGGCAGGCATGATCATCAACGTCTCATCTACGCATTGCGCTTGTCAGCTCAAAATTGACAAATCTGGTGAGTGTCCCTTTAAAGGGACTGTCTGCCACTCAAAAAAAATTTTCCCATTGTGGCGAAAATAGGAAGACCCTTCAAAAGCCTGAACACGTAGTACAGACGCTTTGAACCTTGTACCCTTCAGGTCTCGTTTGGATTGTTTCAAATTCTCTTTTTTTTCCGCGTGTGGTGGAAGTTTGGAACAAGCTTGATGGTGCATTGCGTATACTGAACACTGTAGAGTTCGGGAAAAATTTTATGTGTTAGTCACATAAATTTGTGCGCAGTATTGTTTGTTTCTGTGCTTTCGTTGATTTTTCTGTACCCGCTCCTGCAATGTCCCAGGCATGGGACAGCAGTATTTGTAAATAAATAAATAATATAGATGGCAACGAGCACACTTTTGTCTCACAAAAAAAGGAATTATAATTTTAACTTGATATTGAAAGTGAACAAAAAATGACTGCTAGCATGACCCAACAGCAATGGGGTAAACTTGCATGACAAGAAATCTTTGCAGCTAGACTTATTTTGCTTAAACACAAACATGTATGACTTGAAATGTATAACCACATCCCCCTGGGTTCTTTGCTACTTTCTCAGGCTGAGCAACCACGCGGCACGCATGCGATTATGCGGGTTATACTATTTATACGGGTTATACGATTATACCATGACATCAGACACCGATCTTGACATGGTGGGGCAGTTACCCTAGATGTGTGCACGGCAGTTAAGTGCACGAAAGAAGGCTTCTCACCCATGCCATTTCCTCTCTCTTGCCGTTCAAGACCATCCACAAGCGCAACTCTTCAACAGGATGAGCAAGATGTAGATTGTTTGAAGCTTTCCCAATATTCCCCGAAACCAAGATGACACTGAGGTGTGTGTCACAGCTACAATCGACAGTGAAAAAGTTAAAGCAATAGTTTTCACAAGCAAGATTGCCACAACTGGATGACTATATTTACAACCCATTCATAAATACCTTCACTGGCCCGTTTTAGGGAATGGGAGAACTTCTAAATAAACTGCGTTGACTGCGTTGCTGTGCAGCAGAGCAACTCAAATACCTTTGTTAGCAGCCTAAACAATGGTTCGACTATGTTACGAAACCCCGGTTATGCCACTAACCACGGCTGTCGGAAACAGACCTTAGTAACCTCAGTTTGATAGTGAACTGAGGAAATGGCGGCATCCATGGAGGATGAGTTAGCAGCCTTAACCAAGGACGCTTTTACACTATGCAACATTAGCGAACTGTCATCGGTACCGCAGTTAATTTGCCTGTGTAACAAGGCTATCAAGCAGCATCAACGGGGACATTGTGACATGCATAATGAGACAAACTATCGGCCATGTTGCAACGAATCGATTTGAGAAAAGCCTGAACCACCTCCCCCTTCTCCCTTGACTGTGCAGCACAAAACAGCTGCATTTAAATGTCCTGGTCACACACATTTCTAGTGAGCCCATCCCAGCCAGATGAATACTTACACACGAGGCACTGATATATCCAAATGCACAGCACTGCCGGTGGTGTGCTGCGAGAGATTAAAGGAAACCTACCAGTCACGGGGGCCTCAATGTCAATCATGGTCTTCTCCTGGCGAAGCAATGCAGCCCCCTCGTTTATGATGCGTAGGGCAGCTGCCTCTTCGATTCGCCCCTCGAGCACAAAGTGTTGCTTCAATGCCTCAATCCGCGGCTTGCCGCTTTTTGCCTCAAACACTTCACTCAGTGTCAGCTTGTGGCTAGGAGGAAACGGCACACCTGCAAAAACCAATTCCAGTCGAGTCAGTGCAAAACTGGAAGGGTGCTACTGTACAGGACTCATTTCATCAATTATGGCTGAGCTGTCATTATAGTCTTCCTTGAAAACTTAGCCAATTACGACAGCAGTGATACACTAGGCTAGTGCAGTAGCATGAGCAATGCAACAGTGCAAAGGTATGCAATGGCCAGTGGCAGGTAATATAATACAAGATGCAGGCTGTCACCTCATTTGCTAAAAATAACGCTACACACAACCCCAACGGCAAAGGAAATGGTGGGTTGACGATGCTTCACTGAGCATAAGGATGAAATCGTCCGCCTCATCGTAGAAGCTGAGCACATCAATGCTCTTGGTGATAACTGTGTTAGAATGCCATCGGTATTATTGCCAACTAAAGGATTAGGTTTCCTGCAATGACGCAGGCCATCTGTGTGTACAATTATTTGTTAGGATGCTGTTTTTTATGAGACTTCCTCGTAGTGTTAGCACCACGTAATGACTTTGGCCGTTGCATTTGCGGTATATATTATAGGGAGGTCAGGTCTGGAAATATAAATGTTGCTAGTAGCACTGTATTTTCTTTGTGTGTTTGTTCCCCTGTTCTTGTGTCAAGTTAGTGCTGTAACGAAGTGCCCTAATGACCTATCAACGAGCCCACTTTGAGACTCTCCTTCACTGAGCAACTTACAACCGCTGTTCCTTTGGCCTTCTCAATCGCCGCACAAGCTTTTCTTACATTTCAGTTTGAGAAAAAAAACATCGATGTTGAAATTCGTTGCTATTCTCCTATACCGATGATACAATTGACGTACATAAAGCTTGACAGCTTAGTCCCTGGAGTTACCTAGCTCCTTTTTTTCCGCCGAAAAAAAATTTAAAAGCCTAAAGGCCAAGGGGGGGATTTTTCAAGGTCACTGAATCTCAATAATGTTCATTGCATTCCTTCATTTGCATGTTTCTGCCATTTATACCAAACTAATGACTTGAGAGATTCATGGATTGTTTTTTGATAAATTTTAGATTGCCTCCAAATGCCCACCTGGCCTGCCACAATTATTTGTGTACGCAACAATGATTTCTGCAAAGCAATGGCAGTGACGAAACTAAGGCTCCACTGCATCTGCTGGTCTGCTGCGGATCGTGCGTGTTCGTCCCGCACTTCCTTGGTTGAGCGTACAATATCCTTTTCTATGTGAGGCGGGAATGCAATGGTTGGCAAGTAGTATTGCGGTGGGCCACACACAATTCGTTGTACATTCACCTAATCGCCACTAAACACTCAACTGATCACTATACTATGTCCTGATCGTAGACTGTCAGCAAGCACCGCCGGCTTACTGGACAAAGCACGGTAACACCTTGACTATTGAAGATTACACACGCATGAACTTTAAACAGAAACACTTTCAGTAACGAATACCGGGTCCCCTGCGACATCTATCTATACAGTATACTGCGCATCATGCCTGAGATAGGTAAATACTTGACTGGTATTATTAATCCATCTTATCAATGTCACACAGCGCTCCAAACTTGTGCCCTCTCTCCATGGAAATAGTAAAAGGACTTATATTGAAGGCAAACTTCTAAGCATAAGCAGACACCATTACTTAAGACTGCCCGGACAAGTAGTGCCATCAAAGCGGTGCTTCATAAACGAGGAAGCAGAAAGATTTTCATATGTGCCTGTCCACTGAGTATGCTCTTTGCAGCTTCCAAATTTTCATACTCTGCACTAGCAGGACCACCATTCCTTGCAGGATTTCCAGTTTTCACAATGTAGTACGTCATACAGAGACAGTACATTTCATTGGGTTTCTGTTGCACTATTGCACCATTTTTCCTAATTAAAAATTATTTTTGAATTCGCTGATCATCTCAACTTTTGGGCACGTGACAAGAAGGTCTCAGGAACATAAAGGCATGAACCATTAACCTGACATGGTCAATGTATTGCCATAGTTGGCTTTGAAGGGACACTAAAGGCTATTAGGTTAACGTAGATTGTTGAAATAGCGGTCCAGAAACATCGTAGTGCTACTTTTGTGTTAATAAAAAAAATTGTTTTAATGGTCCGCATCGCGTTAGCGCACTTCAAATCTCCCGCACCTGAAAGCGGCCTTTCAGGCATCACTGTTAACGTGCCCAACATTGCCTTTACTATGCGGCTGCCGACATCAGAAGCAGCATAGCAGCAAAAGTAGCGGGAGCCACAGCAGCAACTACAGGCATTGAACAATTTTCTGCAATCTCTGAGGCCATGATTCTACTTGCTTGGTTTAACTGGGCCCTGCTAATGACACCATCTAACCAGCCTAAACAGCCAAAAACTTGACTTTTTAAGCCATTCACACCATTCCCCATAGTAGCGCCAGCTGGTCCTCTTTTCTATGACTCAAACAGAAACGGACAAGCAGCATTTCATTAAGTCCCTTGATGCACTGAAAGTTTTTTTCATGTTACAGCTAATTTGATTATTAGTGATTAATTGTAGGCAGACACACTCACGTTCAACATCCTACCAACCAACATTTTTCAGCAACGTCCTACAAGAGAGGGCACGGCATGCATGCGACGAACAACATGCCCAAGATTTTGCTTGCATCTATTTTTTTTTTATTTTTTTTTTATTTTCAGAATACTGTCAACCCTCCTTGAGGGTTATTACAGGAGTGGAAAGGATACAAACATTTTACAGGCAAGGCAATATAGTGGCAATACAAGAAGAGTACATAAGAAACGCGCGATCATGATAATAAGTAATGTATACATCATACAGGCATAGTTGCCTTGAACCAAATGATGAAGAAAATAAAATAAAATGTTAGAGTGTGGATGCTTTCTCCCGAACGCAATTAGGTTATCTATGCAGGTTATGGCATCTATTGGCATCTATATATTAGGCATCTATGCAGGTTATGCTGCGTCTTTCTGCCTTCACATTGCCGTACTGTCTCGGAACTGCTATCGTTCTACCGGACGGACAGCGAGACGAGACTGGAATTTATCTAACGGCGAATAGGCAGTCACGGCGCATTACATCATCGGTGGCGGATCTACTAAAAGACCAGAACGGCAGCGGATTCTTCAGAGGGCACGGCACGCATCTGACGAACAACATGCCTAAGATCTTGCTTGCATCTATGCAGGTTGGTTACTTTACGAATGTTATTTGTTATAGAAGTGACGATCGATTTTTGTTACTAGTGCAGTGCCCTGGCAGATGCTTTAGTATTCTTTGTCATTGCTGTACAACGATTTCAATCCTGCTGTCGGGCATGTGGAGGAAAACCCTAGACCCACTAATACTCAAATGCTACAAGCTATTCTAGACAACCAAGGGGCCTTGGACCGTAAAATGGACGCACTGAAGGAAGAAATCAGTCCATTGAATGCTAAAACTGAAAAATTAAGTGGCTATCTTACGGTAATACAGGAAATGAATAAACGAATTGAGATCCTACAGCATATCGAGCAGGGACAAGCTGCCAAACTTGCAGATTAAGAAAACCACAGTCGACGCAATAATCTCTTGGTTTTTGGTGTTCCCGAAAGCAAAGGAGCTTCAGCTGTTGATTTGAAGAAAGTCGTGGTCGATGCAATCTTTAAAGAAACCCTTGGTATAGAAATTGAAACGATTGAAAGAATCCATCGACTTGGTAAGGAGAAACCTGGGAAAAATAGGCCCATAATCATGAAGTTTTATGATTACCGTGAGAAAGAAAGTGTTCTAAAAAACTGCAAGAAACTTAAGGGGACCAATATAACCATAAGCCACAACTACCCCTGAGACACGGTTGAAACAAGGCGCAAGCTATGGAAAAGTGCAGCTTCAGATAGGGCTAAAAGTGCGCAGGTTAAGTTGGTTCATGAAAAGATTAAAATAAAGGGTGATACATTCGGCTGGGATGTCACTCCAGAACAACGATACCTGTATCAAAATCATGCAGATAAACAGAAACGGAGATGTGCTCTTACAGGAAACAAGAGTACGACAAGAAACGAGAGCATGTCATTAACGCGCTAGGAACGCCCTTTTCTTTAACACAGACATAGCTCCAGCTTCTTTTATTTAATGCCCGAAGCATCGTTAACAAAGTTACTGAACTTGAATAAGTTTTGCTATCACGAAGTCCTCATGTGGTGGCCATAACTAATACGTGGCTACACAGTTGTGTCCCTGATAACTGCATTGTACCAGAAGGCTACAAAATCTTTAGATCTGATAGGGACTCTCGAGGGGGCGGGGTCACCATCATAGTAAAAAAAGTGTTGTGGCTGCGCATGTTCGAAGCAATGTACCAGAAACAGTGTGGTGTAAAAATAGCCTTTTTAACACGGTATACCTTCTTGGTGTCGTGTATAAACCACCCGCAACAGCATCAGACTATCTTGATAATTTGAATAACTTCCTTTGTGCCCATGTAAATGGGAACACCAGGCTAATTCTTATTGGAGACTAATCTGCCTCACATTAACTGGGACGCTATTTTCCTGGACACGTCGAGATTGATAGTGTCGAAAAGATATTGAAAATTATGTTCGCTCATAACTTAACCCAAATAGTGCGCGAATATACACGGATGACATCTTCGTCTCGGTCAGTGTTGGACCTGGTGTTCCTTTCAAACAAATTGTGCAATTATAATATCTATGTTCATGAGGGAATTTCCGATCATAGATTGGTCTCTGTTACTATTCCACTGAGTGTTTCATGAGCTAGAACTTATAAGACCGTGCAAGTAAAATATTACAAGAACGCGGATGACACTAATTCTTGACATGCTGGGGTATTCATTTGGTCATTTTGAGCTCGCATCCGAGCGCCAAACAGTTGAATTGTGGCATCGTTTTAAAGATATTATTAAATATTGCATTGACAAATTCGTTCCTAGTAGAGTAAAACAGACTAAAAAGAGCAATCCGTGGATAACACGAGATATTATTCACAAAAAGCGAAAGTTAAAAAGGCTGCAGAGGAAAAGAAACCATGGCT